GTATGTTTTACTCATGCAAATGTTCTCTTAAGCTATGTTAATGAGACTGTATTTGCTTGGAAACCTGCCTTTCTTCAAGAGTCATGTCAATCATTATTATGGCTGGGGCAGCTCACCTTGTGCCAATGTTATCTCAAAATGCATGTTGTGGGTGAGGGGCCTGGTGCCAGTCTCTGAGTTTGGAGACATTTCCTTTCTCTAATTAGCAGACTGCTAGCAGCTATATAACACGTGGCTAAAGACCAGCAGGGGGGCACTCTTTATGCCCCCTTCTGATGTCTATGTCAGAAGCTTTCTCTACCTCTTTTATACTTTCATAAAACTTTATCACACAAAAGCTCTGAGCAATCAAGCCTCATCAGTGGCCCCGGATGGAATTCCTCTCCTCAGGACACCAAGAATACTGGAGTCGTTCGTGGCTTAACAGCAACCTTTCAGTTTTAAACCAACATTTTCACTCTCCTCTTTTACCCTTATCAAGAGGCTCTTTAGTTTTTCTTTGCTTTCTGCCATTAGAGTGGTATCATCTGCATATCTGAGGTTGTTGATATTTCTCCTGGCAATCTTGATTCCAGCTTGTGATTGATCCAGCCCGGCATTTTGCACGTTGTACTCTGCATAAGCAGGGTGACTATATACAGCCTTCACGTGCTTCTTTCCTAGTTTTGAACCAGACCTTTGTTCCATGTCTGGTTGTAACTGTTGCTTCCTGACCTGCATCCAAGTTTCTCAGGAGGCAGATCAGGTTGTCTGGTATTCCCATCTCTTTAAGAATTTTCCACACTTTGTTGTGATACACACAGTCAAAGGCTTCAATGTAGTCAGTGAAGCAAAGTAGATGTTTTTCTGGAATTCCCTTGCTTTTTCGATGATCCAACAGATGTTGGCAATTTGATCTCTAGTTCCTCTGCCTTTTCTAAATCCAGCTTGAACATCTGGAAGTTCTCAGCTCATGTAGTATTGAAGCCTATCTTGAAGGATTTTGAGCATTACCTTACTAGCATGTGAAATGAGCACAATTGTGTGACATTTTGAACATTTTTTGGCATTGCTTTTCTTTGGGATTGGAATGAAAACTGACCTTTTTCAGGTCTGTGGCCACTGCTGAGTTTTCCAAATTTGCTGGCATATTGAGTGCAGCACTTTAACAACATTGTATTTTAGGATTTTTAATAGCTCAGCTGGAATTCCATCACCTCCACTGCCTTTGTAGTAATGCTTCCTAAGGTCCACTTGACTTCCTCACTACAGATGTCTGGCTCTAGGTGAGTGACCACACCATCGTGATTATTTGGATCTTCTGTGTATTCTTGTCACCTCTTCATAATCTCTTCTGCTTCTGTTAGGTCCTTGCCATTTCTCTCCTTTTTTGTGCCCATCTTTGCATGAACTGTTCCCTTGGTATCTTTAACTTTCTTGAAGAGATCACTAGTCTTTCCCATTCTATTGTTTTCCTCTATTTCTTTGCACTGTTCATGTAAGGCTTCTTATCTCTAGTTGCTATTCTCTGGAACTCTGCATCCAGTTGGGTATATCTTTCCCTTTTTCCTTTCCATTTTGCTTCTCTTCTTTTCTCAGCTATTTGTAATGCCTCCTCAGACAACCATTTTGCCTTCTTGCATTTCTTTTTCTTTGGGATGTTTTTGGTCACTGCCTCCTGTATAGTGTCATGAACTTACATCTGTAGTTCTTCAGGCACTCTGTCTACCAGATCTAATCCCTTGAATCTATTTGTTACCTTCACTTATAACCATAAGGGATTTAATTTAGGTCATACCTGAATGGTCTAGTGGTTTTCCTTACTTTCTTCAGTTTAAGCCTCAGTTTTCAATGAGGGGCTCCTGAGCTGAGCCACAGTCAGTTTCAGGTCTTGTTTTTGTTGACTATATAGAGCTTTTCCATATTCAGCTGCCAAGAATATAATCAATCTGATTTCAGTATTGACCAGCTGTGATGTCCATGTGTAGAGTTTTCTCTTGTGATGTTGAAAGAGGGTGTTTGCTATGACTAGCGCATTCTCTTGGCAAAACTCTTAGCCTTTGACCTGCTTCATTTTGTACTCCAAGGCCAAACTTGCTTGTTACTCCAGGTGGCTCTTGTCTCCTCCTTTTGTATTCCAGTCCCCTCTGATGAAAAGGACATCTTTTGTTAGTTCTAGAAAGTCTTGTAGGTCTTCATAGAACTGTTTGACTTCAGCCTCTTCAGCATTAATGGCTGGGGCATAGATGTGGATTACTGTGATACTGAATGGTTTGCCTTGGAAATGAACAGAGATCATTCTGTCATTTTTGAGATGCACCCAAGTACTGCCAAATAAGTAAATAATTTTTATTTTACATAGAAAATATCAGACTTCACTGATGATAGTGAAGTTATTAATATGTTTTACAATTCATAGATAAATGCAAATTTAAAAATTGTTTGCAAAACTTATATATGTTTTTATGTTATACAAATATGTGTTGTATTGACTGTCACAAGGTAAAATATTTTTCTTACTGTTAGAACTAAGTTTTAAAGCTTTTGTTATAATTAGTCTTGGCATATTTTGCTACTTATGCAAACAATTTCTATTTGTTCCTCAGGACTTTCTAATAACTTTTCTGATCCCATTTCTACCCAAGTGTAGATTGGCAGTTCTCCTTCTTTGTTCCTGTGGTATCCTGTATATAGATTTTTAAAACAGTGTAATAATTTTGATCTGTTTCTGCAGTGTTCATGATGAGACTGGATTAGCTATTCCTTAGCAAATATAGCTCAGTGGTTAAGCACCTGAAGGCTTTCAAATCAAACCCATTAACTTACTGTGACCTTGAAAGTTATAATCCCAGTAAGCTTTAGGTTCTTTATCTATAAAGTGGGGAGATTATGGTAAATACCCTCACAGGGTTGTTGTGAAGATTTAAAAAAGAAAACACAACATTTAAAGGGCTTAACATATTGCCTGGTATGCTCAATAAATGATTATTCTTATTAGAAAGAAGATCAGTACTAAATATATCCATTAACTAACATTAGCATAAGATGATTTCAAAAAAGAAGGAAAGAAACATTTCATAGATATCTGCAATGTGCCAGGTCTGGTTTTTTAGTGCTTTACAAATATTATCTGACATTGAAAAGTAGGATATTAGTACCTGCATTTTTAGAGATATAATTATAAACTAGAATTCAAATATAGTTCTTTCTGGTTCTCAACCTTTATGTTTTCCACTCATCTAAGCTGTCTCGCAGTGATGGGTCAGTGAATAAATGACAACTGAGAAGCTGGTCATATATCCCTTCTCTTTCCTCCAGCAGTTATGCTATATATTTGAGTTGCAGTATTAATGTCATGCTTTTGATCTTTGGAATTAGTTTTCTAAAAAAGTTAGACTGGAAATCCAGATATTGTAGTACTCAGTTGTCCTTTACCAGTAATCTAAGAATTCTAATATTCCTCTAAAATATCATTCACTCAATATAACCTAAGTTTTCTAAATTCTGCTTTCCGTAAAGAAAGAAGCCTTGGCTTCATCCCAAGAGATTATGATTTCATTGGTTTGGAGTGGAGCCTGCATTTTTTAAAAAGCTCCCTAGGTGGTCCGTATATGTAGTCAAGGTGAGGACCACTGGTATCAGTATAATATGATCCCATAAGAAGAGTGTTAAGAAAAGTTTTTCATTCTTAACTGTTGTTTCGTGAGTCCTCAGTCAGACAAACTCAAGGAAAAGCATCATTTATGGCTACCAAAGGAAAGGACTCAGGTTAGTGTGTGGTTGGTAAGCCCACTTTTCTCTTGGCACATTGCCAAGAAATTTGTTTATTCTTCCAGGCAGACCATCATTCCATTTTAAATAAGCCAGTTACAAAAGACATATGCATACACAGGTCCTCCTATGAATAATGACCAGGCAGTGTTGTTACCAGGAATAAAGAAATGTTGCCTCTCCTCCAGTGAGGTGCCCAGAATGATTTAGAGATTTAAGTGAGGAAGTTTTTTAAATTGTGACATGTTGTAGTAGAATGAGCTAGATTGCACCTTTACTGTTGTCCATCAACTTATCCATGTCCACTCTCATGGATTCTGCTCATCCCCGTTAGTTGCAGGTTGAGCCCATATAGTTTCTTGATCCACTGTCCAAAACTTGTCTCAGGTTCTCTAGGTGGTTGTAAGAAGAAAGAAATTTACTTTCTGATTTATACAGTGATACAATTATTTTGGCAAATTATCTTTTATTTAATGTGCTTTATAAACAGGAAGGCTCTCTTAGGAGACAGTTTTAATTAGGTTTGTCCCTTTATAGTTGGGGCTTCCCTGGTGGCTCAGAGGGTAAAGCCTCTACCTGCAATGCGGAAGACGTGGGTTCTGTCTGTGGGTTGGGAAGATCTGCTGGAGAAGGAAATGGCAGCCCATTCCACTACTGTTCCCTGGAAAATTCCATAGATGGTGGAACCTGGTGGGCTACATGGGATTGCAAAGAGTTGGACACGACTGAGCAACTTCACTTCACTTTATAGTTGATTGGGTCAACCACACCTAGGGTCTATGACCCAAGAGTATGGTCTTTATTTTCCTAGAGTAGAGATTATGTTCAAGAGCATTTAATACCATGTAGTAAAACACCATTGCAAGCCTTGGTTTGGAAAAAAATTCTAAAACTGCCAATTTGTCACTTAATCTTTTGAAATACCAAGGAGTATTTCAGAAATAACAGGAAGAGATCCTCTGTCTGTTCAAAGAAGCCATGCTCTAGTTGTTCATGGACTGCCTCTTATTTTGCACATCTCCAGTATACCTCCATGAGATTCTGTGCCCAAGTCAACAAAAATAGGAAAACCAGCTGTGGATTAAAAAACTACATAGATTTAAACATTCTTGTTTGGGATTATTTGTGCCATGTTTGCTTATGTCAGTGCTGTTAAGTATTATTATTTGCATTGTCATAGTGAAAATTTTATTATAAACCGTTTCCCTCCCCACCTCCCTCCCCTACACCCCCTCCTCCCCACCCCACAGGTATGGGTTAGAATGTCTGTTCAGGTTTTATAGTTATGGACTGGAAAAGAAATTCAGACAAGAAATTTTTAAGGATTTCCAAGAAGAAACCAAGAAAGACTACGAATCTGGTAAAAACAAAACAATAACCTTATTCAATTTGGAAACTGTAAATCTGAATCTGTCAATAAATAAGGAGATTGTATCCTTTTTTTGGGGGGGGGGGGACAGACCAAAAAGACTTTGAGGCCACTATTATGATTTGTTATAAAGGATGGAGCACCATATAGTAAGAAGGTTTTTCATGTAAGATGTTGGAAAATAATCACTCCCAAGTGTTTCTTTATGGATTTGCATTTTGTCATTATTCATTTGACTTACATGACTACTCACTGATGTTCCATTATGTGAAAATTCTATGTAATATGAGCAAGTATGCTTGGAAAGGTGAAATAGTATAGTGGGTAACAATACAGGCTCTGGGCTAGATTCCTAAGTCTGAGTTCCATTTCCACCACTTAGTAGCTCTGTGGCCATGGTTAAGTTGCTTAATTTAACCTTGTTTAACTTGCTTAACTCAGTTTACTCATCAGTAATACTTACACAGGAACACCTATATTACAGGGTGGTGTATAGTTCAAATTAGTTTAATATACAATAAACCACTTAAATAATACCTGTTACATAGCAAATGCTTAATAAATGTTAGCTCCCGTTATTCATTACAGTGTTAGCCTCAAGATCTAGATAAAGTGTATATTAGAAGACATGGCTTAATGCTGGTAGGATCATGGTCAATGAATCATTTTTTAAGGATTCTATATATTTTATTGTATGTATATTCTTTGTTACTGTAGGTCAGCTGTATGGATTAGAAAAGTTTTGGGCTTATCTAAAATATTCTCAATCTAAGACACAGTCTATTGACCCCAAACTTCAGGAATACCTCTGTAGCTTTAAGAAGCTAGAAGACTTCCGTGTTGATGTAAGTTTTAAGTTCTTTCCCTGTATTCTTTTTATTACTCTTATATTTGAGCAATTTGGGCTTATCAGTGACTTTCTTAACTTTAATTTTACAATTTTTATTTTTTAACTTTCATTTTGAAAATTCAACTTTCTAGTTTTGGAATCAAACTTTAAAATAGGTGCAAAAATGGGACTTTCGTGGTAATCCAGTGATTAAGACTCTATACTTCCAATGCGGGTAGCACAGGTTTGATCCCGGGTCAGGGAATGGCCACACACCATGAGGCCAAAAAGGGAAGAAAAAAACAAAACAGGTGCAAAAATAATATAGAGAATTCCCATATACTCAGTTTACCCAGAGTCCCTAAATGTTAATATCTTACATAACCGCAGTGAAGTTGTCAGTCACTTTAACCAATCTGATTTCAAGAGGAAAAGGAAACATTTTTTAAAGAGAAGGGAATGAGCATAAGATAAAGGAAAAGGGGAAAGAAGAGAAAAGAGAAACAAGGAGAGAAGAATCAAAAAGAGCAGAAAAGAGAGAGGTGAAAGGAAAACTAGGTACATCTCTCTTTAGTATTATAATTTGTTTGTCTTGCAGTTTTGTGTAAATAGATTTGATAGCCCAGGGGTGCAGTTAATAGAAGTACCGACATCTCTGGAGTTAAAGAGCTGTGTTTCCAGAGTGGTCCAGCCAGTTCTGTCACAAAGATGTCCTTGCTTTATAATATTATAATGACTGTTGCCCTATCTGAAGAGAGTTCAAGAATTCAGACCTCTGCCTTTAAATACAGTGGAAGTTTGGAGAAGGAAAAGATTAGAGTTACAAATGCTTTGCATTTGATGAAAGTTGCATAAAGAACAAAAATATCCTCTCTGAAAAGTTTTCCCAGAGTTATGGAATGCAGTGTTATGTTTATGCTTTACTATATAGTTCAAACCCTAAAACATAGGAGTAGCTTAATAAACATGTGTTGAATGAAAGAATTAACTGATAGGAAGGAAATTTAAGTTTAATACCTTAAATTTCTGTTAAATTTTCCTTATACTAATAAAATCTACTAAAGTAGGTTTAAAGTAGATAAAAAGAGATCTAACAGATTCTCTGTTAGAAAATTCTAACCTTAGATTTTGAAGGGAGGAAAAAATAGTAAAATCATCACTATGTTGTCTTTTTTTTTTTTTTCATTTATTTTTATTAGTTGGAGGCTAATTACTTTACATCATTGTAGTGGTTTTTGTCATACATTGACTATGTTGTCTTTCATAATTTGCAGCCCCCTATTGGTGAGGAGTTTGGAAGAAAAAGACATTCATCTACTTCTGGTGAGGAGAGTAATCGTCATAGACTTCCATCTAATTTCTCTACAAAGCCACCAGGTGCTGCTAAGCCTACACCTGCTAATCAGCTTCAAGTTCCAATAAATTCTCCCAGAAGGAACACTTCACAGGAGTCCAGTGACAATTCACACCAGAACAATGCTGCCTCAGTCCCAACAAATGGTGAACTGCCTGAGAAATAGACTCTCAACAAAAGTTGTTTGCCCTTGAAATCAACATTTACATCAGTATTTATTTGGGAAAATCCTCTGATGTTTAATTGTGATAATCAGAAAAAAGAAAAAGGAAGAAAAATGGTAGCATTTTTTTCTAGCAGGATAAATTCTAAAAATGTTGCCTTGATTTCACCAAGGATAGTTTTGGTAACCTTTTATAGAGATCCTCTAGTAATGTATTTTAGTCTCAGTATTTCTTTTTCAAAGCCATTGTTTACAAGAACAGCCTTCCTTAAATATATATAAAAACATCACAAGGAATGCCTAACATTACAGCTCATACTTCTTAAAGAAGATATAGTATGTTGTATTCATCTCTTCTGTAGAGTTCTCTTAAAGAATCCAGTTACCTCATTATCAATTCATATTTGAACTTATCAAAAACAAAGGAAGATTGAGTATATATTTTTTAAATTCAGAAAAAGAATGTGAAATACCACATTTGCTTTTCTTTTAGATGTATGGTTTAAATTTTTTTTTTTTTTTTACAAAGGGAGAGATATATTGCAGTTATATTAAAGTATATGCACCTTGGATGTTGGGTTTTGCTTCCCCTCCCCCACCAAGTCATACTTCATGACTTCCATAGTTATTGTTGTGTTGATGTGGAGTGTTCTGAATTGACATCAGTCAATTACATACTAGGATGGATTTACTTTTTGTGACTATATAAACCTGCACAAGTAATTGAAGTTGGAGTTGGGATTGGTTGGAATACTGTCCTAAGTTAATTAAATCTTGCACTGTTTTGAATGTATTTGCTCTTTGTACATCTGCAGGTCTATGTGTCACAAGTAGTCAGATTATCCTCAGTTTAAAAGGAGTACGTAGTTTTTCCTTTTTTGTGTCTTTTAGTTTTGTTTTATGCTTATAAGTGTTTTCAAAAACAAATTTACTTCTAATTTTTATTACTGTTGCAACTGATGTAAATGACAGTTTTAGTTTTGTGGGAATTAAAATAAAGCACTTATTTTAAATTATTTGAATTGAATTTTAATTATTTTTGTTTAGAATATAATTTAAAAGCTGTAATTTTCAAATTCTAGTAGAAGACCATTGTATTTTGTGAATGAAGTTTCAGTGTTAAACTTATATCCATTTTTATTTAACATATATTTTCCTGTATTGTGAAGAAGCAGCTAGTTTAATACACTAATTTATTATTTTCTCTTTGATGTCTTGTTCTTATAGAATGACAATATTGAAATACATATTTTCTTTGGTTAAATGGACTAGCCTTTAATAAATAAGAGATTTTCATTACTTTATTTCCTATGAATAAGTGATAATCTGCAATTGTATAATATTTAATATTTGGGAAGTCATTTTGATACATTACTTCTAAGAAACTGTCAAATTTGAATATTCAGAAAATCTACTTAGATCTTGGGAAGAGAATCAAAAGTAAAACAAATAGATTTAGATAATATATTTGAAAATGTTTTCTTACATGCATATGTAGTTCTGGCTTTTCAGTGAGGACTTTCCAAACCATGCTTATTAGCTTTAAGTGCTCTCTTGAACTGATCTAAAAATCTTTCTCAATATCCTTTTTGTGTTGAACACTTACATCTGAAACCTGTATTTAATGTTAAGATTACTTCCACTCACCTAAATATGCAAATGTATATCTGAAATTTGTAGATGAAAATTTTATATTTTATGTGAAAATACAATGATCAAGAGTTTTGTGATGTGTAATAAATTAATAGTTTTATCATATTATATTGATTATAAAAACAATACATGTACATTGGGAAATTTAGAAAAGCACAAAGATGAAAATAAAGTACTTTTTTAAAAAAGGAAAAAACAAAATCAGTATCATGCTATACATACAGCATTATCACCTGCTTTTACTTGTAGAGGTGACCATTTTCTAATGTCATTAATATTTCTACACCGTGACTTTTACAAGTTATATAGTATTGTAGCATGTGGATATGTCATAGTTTATTTAGCTAAATCACGTATTGTTGAAATTTTGCCTGTGGTTAGGTTTGGGCTGTTACAAACAACAGTTTAATTGATAATATCCCTACAGATAAATCTGTGTGTAAACTTGGAGTTACTGCCTAACATAAATTCCTAGAAGTTGAAATTCTAAGTAAAAATATATTCCCAGTTAACGTACTCTAGAACGGTTGTAAAGTTTACCCTTTTACCAATAGCATCTGCTTTTCTATGTCCTTACCAACATTCAGAAAACTAAGATCATGGCATCTGGTCCCATCACTTCATGGGAAATAGATGGGGAGACAGTGGAAACAGTGTCAGACTTTATTTTTGGAGGCTCCAAAATCACTGCAGATGGTGATTGCAGCCATGAAATTAAAAGACACTTACTCCTTGGAAGGAAAGTTATGACCAACCTAGATAGCATATTAAAAAGCAGAAACATTACTTTGCCAACAAAGGTCTGTCTAGTCAAGGCTATGGTTTTTCCAGTGGTCATGTATGGATGTGAAAGCTGGACTGTGAGGAAAGCTGAGTGCCAAAAAATTGATGCTTTTGAACTATGGTGTTGGAGAAGACTCTTGAGAGTCCCTTGGACAGCAAGGCGATCCAACCAGTCCATCCTAAAGGAGATCAGTCTTGGGTGTTCATTGGAAGGACTGATGTTGAAGCTCCAATACTTTGGCCACCTGATGTGAAGTGCTGACTCATTTGAAAAGACCCTGATGCTGGGAAAGATTGAAGGTGGGAGAAGAAGGGGACGACAGAGGATGAGATAGTTGGATAGCATCACCGACTTGATAGACATGAGTTTGAGTAAACTCCGGGAGTTGTTGATGGACAGGGAGGCCTGGCATGCTGCGATTCATGGGGTCGCAAAAAGTTGGACGCGACTGAGCGACTGAACTGACTGACTGACTGACTGACTGACCAACACTGGTTATTATAAACCTTTTCTTTGATAGATTGAGAAGCAAAAAATATTATTTTAATAAATGTCATTATTAAGGTCATCGTTTTAATCAAGTTACTAATGAATGATAATTTTATTGTTTATTATAATATTTGTAGATGGCTTGGTCATATCTTTTATGTTTTCCTTTTAGCATGATTATCTTTTTTGATTAATTTATAGAGCTTTTTTACTTAGCAAGACTATTAATCCTTTGCTTTCTAATTTTGTTTATGTATATTTGACATAGTATGTACATTTTTTTGGTAAAAGTTTAAAAATTATACCACTTAAAGCCAAATGTGAAACTTAAGCAACTGAAAGCATTGTTATTCAATGAAAAGAAAAACATTATTGACTATAAATCTAAATAGTCCTACTTAAAATTTATGTTAGTTCCTAGAGAGCTTCCCTGATGGCTCAGATGGTAAAGAATCCACCTTGGAAACCTGGGTTTGATCCCTGGGTTGGGAAGATCTCCTGGAGGAGGGCATGGCAACCCACTCCAGTATTCTTGCCTGGAGAATTCCCATGGATAGAGGAGCCTGGCAGACCACAGTCCGTGGGATCACAAAGAGTCGGAACGACTGAGCGACTAAGCACAGCACGGCACAGCACTAGAGACCTTAGATGCTTCCTTCCTTGTGATTTTGTAGTTTTCAATTTTATTAAAGAAAAAAGGTCAACATTAAAATGTTTAAATTAAATTACTTGTCCTGTTAAAGGGATAGTTGAAACCATCTTTCGAATTCTTTATACTAAAAGGGATTAAATAAGAAAGTTATGTGTTAACATAGATATCATTTTAGTTTCTAAACAGATTTTATTTTTTAAACTTGTTTTTGCCAGATTGGGACTTCACACTAACATTCTCTGATGCTTCCTCTTGCCATTATACTAAATGATATTACCTCTTTCCTTTTTGTGCTTAATCTTATCTTTCACCTAATTTCTTAGCTCTTATGAAGCTGCTTTTGTTTTATGACATAGGAGACTGATCTAAGAGAGTAATAACTAATTTTATCACCACTAGATGGCAGAATGGAATAAGTCAGATCTGTAAGTCTTTTGACAGGTGTGTGTGTGTGTGTGTGTGTGTGTGTGTGTGTGTGTGTAACTCCACTCTTACTCCATCTTGTGGTGATTGTGTGTGTGTGAGTATAACTCTCACTTCACTCTTACTCCATCTTGTGGTAATATGTAATTATATCAATTACTCTTGCATTCCTAATAGTCACAAGTTAACAACTCGTGATTACCTTGTTACAGCGATGCCTAACTGCTTAGTTATTAGTAAATAAATACAGATAAATTAAGATTTGCATATGATTAAAGATAAAAATGCTTTGGGTTTTTTGGTCATTTCATTTAAAAATCTGTAGTACTTCATTAGCATTATTTGTGATTACCCCTTGAGGTGTAAACAAAGCAAGAAAATTGTAAGATGTATCTGTTTAATTTTGTCTAGCTAACCTAAGCTGTGTAGTTAAATCCTTCCTGAAACACCAGAAATTTAAAACTATGTGGTACCTTTATGACTTGAACTAAAAGTTATCATGCAGTTGGTTGAAAGGCAGAGCAAGAATTTGAACTCAAGTAGTCTGGCTCCAGGCTTCAAGCTCTTCATCTTAACCAGAATGTTCTTTAATAGCCTGAAATATTGAAACATATGAACCCTGATTCTAAAACTCAAAATGCTGTGATTCTGAATTATTATAAAATCAAGATTAGATTCTTGTGGTTAAGACTAATGTTGTTTATCTTGAGCATCTTCTGTAGTAACGAGTGGTCTAGTGGAATAATTATATATATATTAAATGCTATATGGTGAATCCTCTTTGGAGGGAAGAGTCATGGTTAATGACTATCATTCATGTATTTCAATATTTTCCTAGAATTAGGTAAGCTAAAATAAAAACTAAACATTTTATTCAGAATATGATTAGAAATCTTGCATTACATTAGAGTTATTATTGTCAACTACAGATACAAGATCCTATACTATTTAGAAATAAGTGTTCTAATTTTTAAGAAGCTTGAAGGAAATATGCCATATGGT